TGAGATAATGTCGTAGGTCCAAATGGAAGAGCTGGCTTATATTATTTTCTCTATCTACAACATTATAGTTTACAGTTAATGTTAAATAAAATAGTTTTCTTCTAGATAAACAGAGGGAAAAAAATAGAAAAGAAAGCACAGCCTCTGAGGAGTTAAAGAGAGGGAAGTGAACTTAGTATAATGTTTATCCGACCTAAAAATCCACCATCCGTCCACTGAGGGAGCATTCAGGTGCTTAAACATGATGTCCATGTTTCTGAAAACAAATTTTGATATGTGAGCCCTTTTTTGCTTTCCCTGTACCTCGTCACTGATGTAATTGGCATAATCTGAGAGTTCTATTTGCAAATCATATTGAGAAAACGAGGTGGTAAAAATTCAACACTAGAGGTGTGTCACATTTTTACTGGGATACAGAGATTACAGTGTGTAGTAGGCTTCTCAGAGAATGTTAATACATTGCACATTCTCCTCTAGCTCTAGCCTGCCTTAAAAAAAACCAAAAAGCAAGAAGACCAAGGTGACATGTCTGTCACTTCCCTCTGAGACATACTACACGCCGTAAAACACTTCAATCTCCACTTGTACTTTGAGTAATTTCCTTTTTGGCGTGGCTCCTCCTTCAAGATTTTTCAGGTAAACAGCATGAGATTACTGTATGTCATATAGAGTAGAGAGCATGGATGATTTTATTTCACCATTCTGATGAAATAGAAACCACAGTTAATATGCTTCATTTAACGGTGATTTGAGCATCAGTATAAGAATGAGGTATCACAAAGGAATCCTAATATCAGGAAAGTCTTGGTAATCTACATGATGTCTTCATATAGTAGATTTTACATTAAAACCTCTATGTCCAGAAATTGCTGTTCCATTCCAGGTAGTCAAAGTTTCCCTATATGTCTCTGTCTACACAAGTGCATCATGGTGGTGTCTGTTTTTCTGTGAGTTTCCTGAGGCTAAAGTTTTTTGGCTTGGTAACAATGTGGTACAGAGGTGGTTAGCTTAAGACAATTGATTCTTCCTCTGATTTTGGCTGAGCACTTGTATGGCTCTCAATTCAGAGTCAAGGAGAGAAGAAAGAGAGAATTGAAAAGACTAGAAGGAAGGAGGGCTTCAGGGGAGGGGTCAGAGAAAAAAAAGATACCTGACAAAACACTACTTTGAAAACCAACATTGTCAGGACAATCATTGTCACTGGATTTAAAGTGGCACAATTTAAAATTCATAATGAAATCTATTTTCACTGTGAAATACAAAGATTTTGAAAAGATTTTTCTACTGCAAAAATACGAATGCTGTGAAATAGATGTTTCTTTTTTCTCCTACATTATAACCTCTGAGGGTAACTTTACCCTAAATTATGTGAAGTTGTAATTATCAGCCATATCCAATTAAAAATGCTAAGCCGGTTTCATCTTGAAAGAGAGACACTGACAATATCTAAATATGTATATAGATGATAAATTAGTTATTGTCAAAGTTATCGCCACTCATTATTGTGCTTATACAACAGTGTCATCTAGTGGACACTGGTCAGGCAGGTTGTAACCAAGATTCCTGACGGAGCTTATTTAAAACGAGCTGGCCGTAGATGAAAATAGGCTTTGTCTCTTTCAGTTCCCTGAAACGAAAGCAATTTAAATCATTATTTCTAATCCAGGTCATCACTTCAATTTGTTTTTTTCGGTTTTTTGTTTGTTTGTTTGTTTTTGCCAGCATAGCAAAAGAACGGAAAACTTTTTGTGCCTACAGAATGAAATTTCAAGAATTTCTTTTTATTTTGACTTTTAAGATAGCAAAGAACAAAAGAAAATGACAAAATTGCTATGAAGGGTAGATGTCAGTATATGTATAGTAGTCAGAAGGAGAAAGTTGGGGCTGAAAGGTTATTGAATAAGTGTCTGGTCTTGAAGTGAACAGAGGCCACATCAACAACAACGACAAAACAAAGGAATTGCAGAATATGGGAGTTCTGTTGTTTTATTTCCAAAGATTTGCCATGTCCTTAGTTATCTTTTTTACACATTTCCGTAGAAGAGATATTGCTTTTAGAACAGAATTTTTCAAAAGCCCATGTTTTTTAATAAAAGCATTAATTGCCACTTATTATGAATAATATATTTCTGTTTGATCAAAGCCACTTAGGTTTAATTTTTCCCCAACTAATCACACACTGCAGACACATAATGGCACTGCAATGAAGTCCACATTTTTCCTCATTCTCTGACTTTTTGATAGAAAAATATGGAAATCCTGCAGTTGCTGAAAGGATGCGAAAGTTAGGCTTTATAGGATATCCTAAAAATAAATATAAACACATTTTTAAAACTCCAGTTTAATATCTTGTCAATTTTTTACAGTAATTAGGCAGCTATAAAAGGCTACATGTTTTGTATTCCAAAACTACTAAAAAGTAGAGGATTATTTTAAAGCGCTTTTCGTTTTGGAGATAAGGGAAAAGGCATGTTAAGGCTATCAAAAAGTATAAAGTTTCATTATTCAAACATCTAGTTTTAGGCTCATGTTACAGGTTCTCTAAATTGAATGTTTTATTCCAATTTGATAACTTTAATAATACTATTTGATTTGGACATGTTTAAGTGATACCATAAAAATAGATGCTATTAAGTTTATCTCCATTTGATTTGACAATGTATTTTTTCCTCTCTTTTTAAGACATTTCAAGTAGAGCTAGAATTGAATGTTTAACATGATCTAGTATGGTGATTTAGAAAAAAAGGGCACGGTACTATACTGATGTTAACTGAAGATTATCATTCTGTATTTGTCTACATTATTATGAAAATATTCAGTTGTTAAGATATAGTCATTTACCAATTTAAAGTAATGTAAAGGTTAACAAATTTGAACATTAACTTGAAACAGACTATTATTTCTTTAGTAAGCAGAAAGTACTACTTTTATTTCACCTTTACTTTTTAACAGTGTGATACAAATAAATTGAGTAAAATGCCATCTGCATTGTGTGTGTAATTTGTATTGAATATTAATTTAAAATTAGAGTGCTAGTGTTTCAAAATAGAATATTTACATTGATTGATTCATAGTTTCTGTGTAAAATTCACTAGTTCTTTCTGTGTAAAAGCTGCATAAGCAAAAGTGGTTGATACTTTAAGACATATAAAGTGTACATAGGGCATGTTCATTTGACATCCTGAATTTTTAAATTATAAAACTTGTAAATGAACATAGTAGAAGTTTGCAAGTTATTTGGGCCTTTGAGGGAAAAAGAATATCTAGACTTTTGGTGACACCAGATGAAGATAAATTCTTTCCAAATTTGCACTTTCTTCTCTTTTTTTTTCAAAATCAGTTACTTTTTACTCACTCAAAATTAACAAGTCATAGAATTGAACTGGTAGCTGATAGGCAAGGCCCAGGTTTGGTTTTCTGGCTCAATCAATATATAGTGAGTATTTACTAAAGTCTATGGAACACATTGTGGGTGGGGTAGGAAGTGTGGGATACACAATCCACAGCCTTTTCCAAGCTTCAATCTACTTGATGAGATAAAACATACATGAATAAGAAATTAAATAATGATGCAAGATTTAAATAACAGTTAAATCTGAAAATAGATACGTCACAGACAGGTTTATACTCATTTATTACAAGAATAGTCCAGGAGCAGAGAGACTCTTCTATATGTAAGGGGGATATTTTGTAGAAAAATCGTGAACAACAAATTTCTAATGAAGGTCTTTATAGGGCAGAGGTACAATTAAGAGAAAGTAAATTATACTTGTAACATCATGGTCCATTTCTTTTGTTTTTGATAAGTGTTTTTGGGTTTGGTTTTGTTTCTTAGGCACGGTCTCCTTACACTGCAATCTTTCTGTCTAGGTGCCCTGAGTAGCTGGGACCATACACGTATACTCTGTATGTCCTGCTTTTAGGGTGTCTGGACATTCCACCTGAACCTCCCAGGTGGCCTCAGTCTGCACTATTGTGGCTGGATTTTCACAGATATTTTAGTAATAACTAGATGCCAACATTTTGCTGTAAGTGACTTGAATTCTATGAAAATTATCAACTTTCTTAGGAAAATAATTTCCAATGTTTGTCCCTCTAGTAAATACTACTCAGCAGAGAAGCAGCACAATTTGATTGTCTACACTACAAAATGTCAAATGAGACTCCTGTTGTCTCTACAAGATACTAGTTATTGAGGAACCAGAAGTCTAATAAATGTAAGGCAATTGTTCGGTCATTTTTTTGAGTTACGGATTACTTGGAAAATCTAATCAGTATCATGAAAGTTCCTGAACAAAGTTAAAAAGTGGCATCTTCATAAAATATTATTTTGCTGTTCAAATTATGTCTCCCTATTTTGTTTTATTCTTTAAGTATCTGAACATTCTACCTTCTTCCACAATAGGGAAATAAACATATTTATTAAAAGTGAACATTTCTATGTATTAGTCTATGCCAGTTACCTAATAGCATAGAGATTTTCATATTATTTTTTAGTAATTCACTTTTTTTGTTTTCTGATAAGATCATAATTAAATTATCTATGTAAAACACCAATATAATATTATATTAAAAGCTAATCAATTTTTATAGTATTACCTCAATAATTCATGGTTCAAGGTAATGACTGAATGATATTTCTTATTTTGTTCTTTCCATCTACCTTAACCATGGTTATTTAGATTCCAGAGTAACTTTATTTTAGAAATTAATTTTCCCAGGTGCATTTTCTGTCATCTGATTTTTACTTTCAGTCTAATAGTCTCCGTTTTCATGGAGCAAACATTATTCCATACTTTACTAGACACTTCTGTTTTAGGTAGATACAATAGAATGACACTATAGAGTTTAAAAATAAGGGATGTATATTCCTAGGAAGGAATAAAGGAACCAAAAAGCATTCTTACTTAGACTTATTTTTTTAAAACAAACTTTGAATTTAAAATGGTGGTTTCTAAAATTGTTGCAGGACAGATTGTAGAGCATATTTAAGAACTTACAAGTTGTTGTTGGGAAATTCAGTCATTCCATGCTTTTGATTCACTTATTCTTTCCATCATTTATTCAATGAATGTATATTGATTAGTACAGGAACTCTGCAGGGCCACATATTTATCTGAAAAAGGTAAAAGGTCAATTAGAAACACATGTAAATCAATGTGTATAAACTCCATGTGCTACGACTCATACCGTGGCTAAAGGGCTGTAAAGCAGGGAATCTCTTACCAGTGTCTGCCCCTCTGGGAACACCCCAGGACTGAAAAATTGTTTTAATAGTGTCATTGTGAACCTAGAGAGGCCCACATCACTGATCACCCCTCAGAGTTCAAATCAGAGTCTCCGATAATTCATTAGCACACTTTTAAATTATAACAGTTTTTGTTTTACTTCTGCTTGGTGTATAAAATTAGAAAATTGTAGATGAGTTTAAGAAGCAAATTCATGTGGCCACAATCTAACACCCAAGAAAGAAGACTCTCTGGTGACATTTTGTTTATTTTCTCTATTATATCTATGTCTATATTCCTTTCTCTAAATCTATATACATACACGGTTTTAGAGATTTTTTTTCCATAATTGAGACCATACTGTGAAATAAGTTTTTTTCCAACACATTTTCAAATGAACCCAACACATTCTTCAAATGAATCTAAAATACAGTGTTTATATGATCTGGGCTTGGAGAAAGCAAGTCTTTCCTAAAGCAAATCTATGGAGAGATAATCCAAAAGGGCACTGAGGAAGCACTTATTCTTATAAGCCTAAAGACCGTCCATTTCCAGGACTCAGGGGAGAGTTTTGTTCATTGTGTGCCATTATGCTAATGTCTTCATATTGTGTTACTTGAGTGTTTGAACTCAACTGCAGACAGCTCTTTCCTTTATGCTCTGGGGAGACTCAACCTCAAGTGCATAATCCCCAGCCCAATCAGACTTCTCCACCATGACTCTGGGAGCATGAGTTCTTTGATGTTTAAATATGGCTCATACCATTGCTCTTTTGAATGGAATGCAAGTTATAGCCAAATTCTACTCATCTTGGAACACTGTGCAGTACTAGCATATCCGCCGAGCACTCAGTTTGGTGGAAAGGAACATTTTTCCCCCAATACTGATTGGTGTTTCTTGAGAAGAGAATATTAGTTGGGAAATTGTATTGGTGGTGGTGAGGCAGAGACAAATGGTTTCCTGGGCTGATACTGTGTAGGGCCGGGAATGGCCAACTCTAAAAGCAGGTAGCCTTCAAGATAAAGCAATGATTAACAAGACCCAGCCTACAATACAAGCTTCTGTGTGAGGAGGCCTAGTAGTTGAGGTAATAAAGTTGATTCCAGGACAGACAACCATTTAATGGAGTGAGGATCACTCTACTGTTAACAAAGATGACTTGACAAAGAATGTTTTATAAATAATATATATATATATAATTTAAAATTATATATATAATTATATAGGGCATGAGTGCTCTCCAGAGAAAGAGAGACAGAAAGTGACAAAGCACCCCCACTGGGCAGATGGCTATGCTGCAATCCCTTCTCCATTCTCCTCTGTGGATTTTGGGCACTCACACACATACACACCCCACTGATGTTTTTTTAAGATGTTAGGTTCCAGATTCAAACATCACTGTCAGCAATGTGGGCTCCAGAAGCCTTAATCACCACGCCACAAGTTGACTCCATTACATTTTCACCAGGTCATAAACCTGAAAAATTGTATATCACACACACCAGCTCATAGTCCTAGTCCCCTATTTAGCCACTCAGGGACAGCTGCTAACCCACTCTTCTTCTCTCTGCAACCTCAGAGCCTTTTTCCTTGAAGTCCAACCCAGGTGACCCATAATCCACAAAAAAATTTATTTTTGGCAAAACTCTTGGTTTTAGCATTGCGCAACTTTTTTTTTTTTTTTAAGAATTATTTTATTTAACTCTAATTTGACTAGAGAGGGACAGAGAGAGAGCAAGTGCAAGAATGAGAACAAGAGAGAGAGAGAAAGCAAGTCACCAGGTCTGGGACTTGAATCGTGGTTGGCCATGTGGGAATCTAGCACCTTTAACCACTGTACCATCTGCCAACTCCAGCTTTGTGGAATTTCTTATTGGTATGTAAAAGTAGTTTTAAAATTCAGTCTTCTGATGCATTTTTCTGGCTGCCAATTATTATTGTAGATAGTTATAGCTCTTCTTCCCAAGATTGACCCAAGAGTGTGAACAAGATGCTTCGTCATCATGGTCATTGCCTGGCTTTTCTCCCTCTACCCACCTCCAGTGTGACTTAAGAGACTTCCATCAGAGAGAAGATTATGAGGGTCCACATCTATCCATGATGCAGTTCAGCACAATAAATGGAGATGTAGATAACTTTGTTTCTGCCAGCCTCAAAGGACTCTATTGTGATCTGAGAAGTATTTCATGATGAGTAAAGTCTTTTTACAAGCAAAATGAGAAATAGTGATTGACTGTTTTTAAAAAATAATTGGAATAATAATAATAATGATTGGGAAACACAGTGAAAAGATATTGAATAATGAAGTGGGGAGATTAATGTCTCTGTATTGACTGACATGTATGGCATCCCCTTTTGAAAAAGCAATGTAATACAGTATAAAGTTATATGCAATCCAATGTAATATGCATATAAACAAGATTATGATGATAATAATTAAAAAAAATCATGTTTCCTGGATTCTCAGTAGCAAGCCCACACTTTGTAGGAGCCATATGAGAGGTCCAGTTTGTAAGCTCCAGCCACCACACACAGCCCATTTATTGGGCTCTGCTCTATGTCTGTGGGTATTAGCACACTGGCAGCTCCCGCAGATCTGCTGGACCTTCACATTCTATAATCTCAAGATTACGTCTACCCACTGTTGTAACTTCACAAAGTTAATGTACGTTTTTAATGTGGTCATAATGTAAGTATTACGTGAGCAATAAATATTTTAAATGTAATAAACACTCCAATTACTAGAAATGGACAAAAATTCATCTATACCTTTAGCCATCTGGGATGTAATTAACTTTGTGAAAGAGCTAGTGGTTACTCGAGAAGCAAAATAAAGAAGCAAAACATTTAAGGGACATAAAAAAAGAAAATTATCTACTGATGAGAACATGTATGATAATATCTTTAACTGGATTAATATCCATGGCATTCATGCTGGGAAAATTCATTTTATAATCTGTAATGATATACAGTGATAGAATGCATAAAATAAATTTTCAAAAAATTTTAAAAAAGAGTTAGTGACACAAGAGAAATTAGGGACTTTAGGTAGCTGGTGGTGACGTTGTGTTTCAACACCTGGAGAAACACCTGGAAGTCATGTATAAAGGTGTATTCATATTCAGTAGGGCAGTACACTGTACTCAATTTTCTCTATTATATTTCAATACATGAAAAAATATGTCCCAGGTAACATGTAGACAACTTACAATTATTTGCTATACTCTGTTAAAATTTTAATTTTTTTTTCAAAAGAATATGGTAACTTAAAGGTTTATTTAGTTGTTTAATTAAATTCTACTGAGTCACCATAGAATGTCTAATACAGTTCCTTAGACGAATATGTTCAAATAATTATAGATGATATAGGTATACATATAGTGACAGGGATATGCTATATAAATCCAGGTGAGTCATACACACATATGTGTCTGTGTGCATATATATGTGTGTGTATATGTATATATTCAAACATATATATATATATATATACATATATACACATATACATATATGTGTGTGTAAATTTTAATAACATTCTGGAATTGTATTTGTGTGTATACAACAGTGAGTATATCCATTTTAAGATATTAATATATTATAAAATATATAAAATAGTATATGTAACATGATATTTTTATTATATATAACCTGCAGCAAAATAAGTAATATATTTGTCATTCTACATAATAATTTTATAAATTATTGTATATTACATAAGCATACTATATATATTTATATATACAAACATATAACTTCAGAATGTGATTATAATTTTTATCAATTAAATTAGTAATTATATATGTAAACTAGCTATTTTGAGTTAAATGTTAGTTCCTTAAGATTATATCATTAGGGCAACAGATAAAGAAAATACTTTAAACTGGCTCACTTTTGAGGATGTATTCATTCTTTTAGTCTACATATATTTAGTAAACTCTGCTGGAATGTGGGAACACAAAGAGAAATAAAACAGGAATGCCTTCCAGGAATTCAGTCTACTAGGAAAGACAGGCATGTAAATACATAAGTTCTTGGGATATAATAAATTCAATAAATGAAGCCTATACAAAGTAAAATCATAGCAAAAAGGAAAAAAGATGTCTTTTCTTTCTCTAAAGGGCTACAGAAAAGTTTGGTAGGAAAGAGCCTCCTGAACAAGTTATTGAAATAAGAGGAGGAAAATCCGATGAAAATTTGAGGAGGAACAGTCCTCAAGGCAGAGATAAAAGCCAATGCTGAGACCTGGAAGTTCCTGGTTGTTTCCATCAGCAGCTGCCAGAAGGGTGGCTGCAGAGGCCGGCACCTGAGCACTGCTCGAGGACATGGGAGCTGCTCCTCAGGATGCCCAGAGGCTCCCTTCTGGACTACCTCTCTTCCTCCTCACTGCCTCATTCTAACCCTCTACTCCATTTTATTTCTATTTAATCTCCCCCCTCCCAGACCAGAGCTGCTTTGTGTATAAACTGCCTGCTTTCTTCACATATTTATACACCACGCTTGGACAACTCAGTGACAACGTAGTTTTAGGTAAATCAAAGCTGCTTTTGTTTATTTGTTTGTTCGTTTGTAATAAATCACACCGCTGAAAAACTCAGTAGCAGCGGTAACTTCAGTTTGCTCTCCAGACTTCTACTTTAGCTATTTGAGTATATTCACAGATTACCACCGAAGCAGAAGTGAAAAGGGAGAGTTACTCTGCCACTGTCTAAATGTTTCATTCTTTCCTGTTAATAACCTGTATATCAATTTTTAAAAATGTTCTTATAATGTAAGCCATAATCTCAAAAGACCATAGGGCCAGGCAAGTAGCATATATTGATAGTCACAATAAAATGAGGCACAAGCTTCATATAAGTGACAGTTATCACTGAAAATCAGCGCAGGGGGAAAG